GCCCACCGACAGCATTTGTTTGACCTATTCATATTAACGAAAGTAAAAATGTGCGCATTCATGGGGAATGGTCATCAGTGGTCAAGTATTTGAAAAAAATTATTAATTAATTAACTCAAATATGCATTACATGCCTGTAAAATATTGATAAATGACTTTGTATGCTGGCGTGTTTGAGTATGAATTTCATGGTGTTTTTTGTTATTTTCTATAAATGAAAAATTACTTACATTAGTACACAGAGATTAATTACGAAGCTGTTGAAATTACTTATTCTCCGCTTCTCCAAACAAATATATATAAATAAACTATTCATTTTAGCGACAAAATAAACTTTCATTCTCTAGCATTAAGCAGAGATTGTTTATAAGTGATTTAGAGAAGATATTTGAATAGATGAGTCAGGCGGCTTGAACAGCACGTTTGGAACTATTTATCTTTTAATTTAAATCTTCACATTTCTCACTGATGTTTATGTTCATTTTACTGCTTGTCTTGCCATATCTGTAGGTCTGGTTAATAGCTTTCTCAAACACTGGTTGTCAACTGGGTTCGAGGTTAGAACTGTAAATATATCATTGGTTCAAGGTCGTGTCAACTTAGGCACGCGAAAGGGGCATGGAGTGTAGAATTAAGCATAAATTATAACTAACTAATGACCAGTAAAGAAGGATTTAAATAAACTGGCGCAAATGGTATACATTAGGCAACAACTACCAGTTTTGTTTTTAATATAATAATATATGTCACAATATGTTGCTGTATTAAAGACAGCAAACAATGATGATTTGCTAAATTATATTCCGTCGAAAAATAAATCCGCGTTGCTTGATTGGACTGACCAAGAATATCACGTTCAACAAGCAAGTTCGAATGAGGTATTATACATTTGCATGGTAGAGTTAGTCCTACAAATAGCTTAGCGGTAATTCAGATATCATGCAGCTTATCCATTGTGCTAAGTGTAGCAAAGTTAGCAATCTCTAGTTAAAGAATTGTTTTAAAGTGAGGCCAGTTTTTAAAAAAGCCAACTGTTGATCAATATGATTTCCTAGAAAAGAGCGGAGAACATTCCTAGAAATAATCGTAGCTGTAACTAGCATGACTGTTTCGAGAATTTCCCCTTTTTTGTCATGTCCTGTCGCAGTCGAGTCGCGTGCCTACCCGTCCTGTATTCGGTAACTGTAACCCGCGACGCAACACGATCACGGTTGGTCATAGCCTAACGGAAAGTGATCGTCTTAGAGACAAAGTATCAGATCACTAACACAAGACTTAACTGTACTTGTATATGTGATACAGGCTTTTTTCGACATACTGTTTTGTCAAGTTCGTGGGTCTGTCACAAATTCTTGAATTCGATACGTATGATAATTGGTAAAAAGGCCTCCAGGGAGGAGTATTACTTTCTTGTGTCTAAGTCAATACACATTCCTTGCTCTCTTTTTTCTGAGCACGTAATCAGGACTTTTGCCGCTGATTTTTAGAATATTTAGAATTTGATGATGCAATGCAATTTCAATGTGAGATATCTAGTTCATTTTGTTTCGCAGTTGGATAATAAACACTTGTAATTAACTGAACGTATCGTCTTCCCTGCATTAAGGGAAAGTTGAAAGTTTCAAGTACTGTCACACATATTGTAAATCTACATTCTGTAGTTTCTTAGCACTGAATTAAGACTTGAAGAAGCTGAACATTTGCAACAGTTTAGATTATCAATAAATACTCAACTAAGCAAGCTACTGACATACACCAAAAACTAAAAATTATCTCAGCTAGTTTCATATACCGGTATAACTAGGATTATTCAATGTCAAAAATTATTCATTATAGAAAGCTATAAAAACAATAATATTAAACTTATTTTAAAATGCTAAACATGGCCACATTAGCTACCTTCAATATGGTGATAAGTACCATAATAGTTGCATAGTTCGCCGATAGCTGGCTCATTCAATCCTACTTCACGAAAACAACAACAATAACTACCATTATTTCTTCGTAATTAATATGAAATGTCACACATGTTGCGATCAGATTAGTTGCACAATTAGACTAACTAATTGTGTTTAAAGCCAATTTTAGATAAAAAGTATATGATAATTTATAGACATAGACTGGTAGGTTGACAGAAAGTTATGGAGAGAGAGAAGAAAATATTTTATATTAGATGTTTCAGTATAATGATGTTACTATGTTAAGTTTTGTTTTCCAGGAAATACTGTAGCTTTGTGTTTATGTTGTTTTTTCGTACTGTAAGTAAATGCATTACACGAAACGCATAAACTGACCACATGATTTGAATGTAAAGTGTCAGTTTCTTATTTTATTTCTTAGGCTATGGTCTATTTAATGCGAAGCATGTTTCGCTTTACGTTAGAGCTAACATATGTCTACCTCCATAGCTGTATAGAACCTCATGGAGAGTTGGCAAACAGAAATAGACAACTCTACAAAGCCTTCCCACCAGGCCTACGGAAGCTTCTTTATAGACCAAGCAACAGGCGCCACCCCTTGAACAATTCGAGGCGTTGCAAGTGAGCGAGGACAAGGACGAGCCCCGCGGGGTCTCTCCCGCCAACGACAACACAACATCCCCTTTTGCCCGCCTCTGGCACAGGACATAATTCAGCTTATTCTGGCTGCGACGGCTGAAGTTTCATAATTTGTGTGCCACTTTGGTAAAGCTGGAGGCTTTTAAATGCTTTCTCGGCATAGACAGTCAAGTCGTAAACTTGTCTTTTTGAAAATCAATCCCAGCCAATAAAGCGGTTACAGGTGAAGATATAAAAAAACGACAGAAGCACACTTGCTAGTCTCATGCGATACAGTCTTTTCTGAGCAAGCAGTGGTCAGGGGTCGAAAGTTTCTCGGCCTTTCGTTAAAGTAAAGAAGGCACCTACGTCAAAAGAACACACTGCCAACGATTTTAATGAACATTTAGCTATCTTTATAACGTAATAAATAACAAAGTAAGGGGCAAAAGTGATGTTAAATACCGATATAGTAACCCTGAGTGATAGTGCATGGTGCCGATTTAGTAACCCTGAGTGATACTGCATGGTGCCGATTTAGTAACCCTGAGTGATACTGTATGGCGTCGATTTAGTAACCCTGAGTGATACTGTATGTTGTCGATTTAGTAACCTTATGTGATACTGTATGGCACTGAGGCTGATCTGTTCTCGTAAAACTTCGTCCAGAAATAGAGTTGTATAGCTCAAAACTGGGAATAGTTAAGCGTTTGAACAAAGTAAGAAAGGAAAACACGCATATTAAGAACTGCTAGGTTTTGTATAAGTTTACAAAATCTAGCATGTGCTATTTATTTTTCCTGAAAGAGGGCAAATTCAATCTGTAGTTTACAGTTTACACGCCGAATTAATATTAATTTCTGATCAAAGCAAGCTATATACGTGGATAAGGTCTAAAAATATATACCTATTAATGAACATACCTAACTAATGTTCAACCTATACTATTTATAAAAATTAGAATGCACTGTTCAATTAGTTGGATACACTCGCTGCTAACTATGTTTTCGGCCATAAACCCAATAATACTTCACGAGGTTCGACCAACCCACTAGGCTTGTGTTTGTCCTAAATCCACATGATATAACATAACAATGCAAAGTAATCATTGAAATGATAAACAAAAAATTAAGTTATAAATAACAAAAAATAAAAATAGATATACCGGACATTCCAATCAACACTATGTGTCTGTACTGTGATAAAAGTGTCACTTGTTTAAGCCTATGTCGAGAATGAGTCCAAAGGTCTTGTAACAAAGCTCACAATTAAGTGAGTTTTCAAGTTGAAATTTTATATTTTTGTTTGATAAAGCTACAGTGAAAAAATATACGACAAGCATATAGCTTAACAGTAATTTCTTTACATTGAAAATGAACAATGTTTTTATTTTGAATGGTTGAGCATCCTATCTCTGTTACTTTAGTGTATAATTTCTCCCAAAATTTGATTAATTGTTTGTTGGTTAAATTACAATGAATGAAATTTCTCAGAGCACTACGGTTATCATCTAACATTTTGTTCTTTTTTTTTCATTATTTAGTAATAAACTTAAGAGTATTAAAATATTATTGGCAAGATATATATGCTTAAACTGAATTTCTCGAGCAGAAACCACGGAAAATGTTGTAGATTCAGGATGGAAGATGAGAAACCTTCTATCACTTCTTTCCGCGAGCCACTGATCGCAAATAAAATATATATTGATTAACCCTTAGAATTTAGTTGATTTGACTATTTGTAACATAACATGGTGGATATGTAAATAGATGTTATAACAATAATAATAAAAAATTCAAAAGGCTTTCGGAAAGGGGGCTTATCTTTCATCAGGGGTTACTTTTGAAGAAGAAGGTTTTAAGCTTTTGTAGTCGAGTTTTGATTGCTAGATTTTCGATGTAATAAAATTAATTTGAGGATTGAATTGTAAGCCTGTAAATGTAGCAATGAAATGATGACAAACTGGAATCTTTATGCATATTCCTAATTAATTTATTTTAGGTTAGAAAGTGCTAGTTCTCCCAGTAGAATACTTGATAAAATGGTTACATGCAAACAAACTTCTCATGTTGTGTTGCTACGATGATTTCGGCAATTTGGCCACAGTAATTTCTACTTAGGGTCAGTAATATCTAAGGCAGCTTTATAAAAGCCGTTGAACAAACAAAATCGGTTGCAAGTAGTTAGATGATAAACCAAATAAACCAATCATCTACTTTATATTAAGCTTTCCGTAGAGTACTTAAATTAATATTTCTAACTTTTAACAAAACTTTGTTAATTTATAAGTACAGCAAATATATCAAAATACAATCACGTTCGTGGATAATTACAAATTTAGTTCAAATATAATTAATCATTTAACTTATATTGGCAATTTCTCTTGCTTTTTCTTTTGAAAAAAAAAAGTGTTTCAGGAACTTTTCTTTTGTTGTTGAAGCATATTTCTTTTATTTTTCTCAGCCAGAGTCTCAGGAGGCCAAGTCTGCAGGCCACATTTTCACGCTCCTTTACACCCATGGATCACAGAAACAGCCAAGCCCATGGTTCCACATCCAGCACATGGGTCTGCCTGGTGTTCACCTTTCACAAGCAAGCCCCCTCATCATCCCAGTCCAACAGGAGCACCTTTGGGGGTGCATCCCGCTTCACACCCAGTCCCCAGCTCTTCTAGCCTTCCTTCTCACTCTAGTCCACACTTGTTCAGCTTTCCCCCAACCCCTCCGAAGGATGCCACGCCGGATAATGTGACGGGCGCCGGTTCCGGGAGCATGGATTTCAGCGGTGCTGTCACGGGATTTGGAACATCGGACGAAAAGGGCTCGGTCGCCGGCATGATCACATTAGGCTCCGCACTCTCAAGCTGCTCTGGTAGCAAGCCTAGAGAAGGTAGTACTGGCTTCTCCTCGTCCCTCAGTCCCATCCACCAAACTGCCCATCCCATGCCCACTTATCCCGCCTATGCCCCAGGTGCTCATTCGGCTGGACCCCCACCTTCTGCAGATCTCTGTGGACCCACCTACAGCTTTCACGCTACTAGCCCATTTCTAGGCTCTAAATCATTACAATCTTCCATAGCACCCATTATCCCCACGTCCTCAAGTTCTGGCAACAAACCAAGAACAAAAGGAAGGTCTAGCGCGGGTAAGATGAACATTTTTGAGGCAGCTGTGTACTGCCTTCAATGTTTCCCCGTCTACTTCTTTCGGCCTTTGCTCTCTCGCTAATATCCTTGATTTCATAAGTCTTCTTGTTTCAAGCTATATGACTAATAGCATATGAAATACCCGAATCCAAGCTGGCGGGCAATAACACCTATGTTGGAAGCTTCTCCTCTGCATCTATGTGTACCCATACTAATAAATCTCTCTAATATAACTTGTACTGTATGTTGAGTATCTGCTATCAAGGAAATGAATACTTCTAGGTCTGTACTAACAAATGCATTAACTTGTTAAAGCATGTTGCTTATTTGACCTGAGTCTAACACTAATGCTAATACAATAATACCTTATACCTGGCTCGTTTATGGGTATGCTATATGACTACATTCAAGTATATTTGTTATATGTTTATGGTAGATGGTAGTAAAGCTTATAGAATTTGGTAAGCTGTGTTTAAAAGCTACACGTGAAAAGGTACTTTTATTTTTAAGTTATTTGTTGCTTAACTTAGCATTGAATTACTGTTATGTTATATTTTTTTGCTTATCTAATTAGAAAACCCTTTGACCAATCCATGATAAAAAAATACTTCAATTGAAGAACTAACACATTGTCTACTAACATGAAGTTATTATTCAAGAATTTTGAAATGTAATTAAAGCTTTCTTTTAAAATCATTGCTCTCAAACTTTGCACACATTAAACAGAGCTTTGGCGTACAATATTTTACAGTCGTCCTCTATGATCATGACTTTTTAGTTGATTATGTTTATAAATCCCTGAGATCTTCTCAAGATATACATGAGTGATTCATGTATTCTTGATTTACAGTTAAAGATATTTCACACTCGGCGAATTTGGTTAAAGTGATTATCAGACATTAAAGTCTCCCAAAAGTCTTACAGTCGCTTAACAGGACAACCCCTTAAATGAACAGATAATTTTAGATGAGTGGTAATTTAGTATTTAGACTCTTGTTGGAGGTCTAAGTAATTATGTTTGATTTATCAAATGACTACACTTTTCTAATTGATCTTTAACTATGTTAATTATCATTGGTAAAATTTCAAAATGAAATTATTCTTCAACAAAGGTTAGTAGAAGCTCGAATTTTCTATTTACATCCAGCACTGTTATAAGCTTTCATGATAGGCAGAAACCTGTGCCTCACATAAATCACTCATTGAGTCTCCTGACAGGTAGTTATCATTGGACCGCAGAACCCTTAGTTTCAGCTTTACTTCTTGCTAGGTAGCATTATAGCTGAGGTAATAGAAAGTTTTGTGACGTGTTTAGTTCAGACATTTAAAGATTAATTATCATAATATAGGTTCACAATATTTTCGTGATTCCTTAAATTAGCACGAAAACTCAAAAGCGGATCAATGACCTTAGATATCATTTTAATTTATGCCTATCTTTAAAACAGAAGTAACAATTTGTAAAAATAATCACTATTTTCGCATACTTAGTACTTTCATTGATTTAAAACTCACAAGTTTGTGAGAATTCTTATGCATAAAACATAACTTTTCTGTTAATACTAGAAATCATCAGTCCGGCTGGAATAGAACAAACATGGTATTGAACAAAACGCGGCGTAGGCAATTAATATGGCAAACATGGTGTAGTTGAATTACTCTTCTCTTCGGGGAAAAATCCAAAGAGACCGAATAAAGAATGTAATACTTAAAAATACAATAAACTTGATACTAGTGTACTATTACAAATATAATTCGTTATAATCAGGCTTTACCTTTTAAGGCACCAACACCATAACAACCCTTATACTAGAAATTAGGTACATCGAGGGATTTCTACATCTTAAGTGGAAACTTCGAGCGAAGGGAGAGAAACCATGAATAATTATATGGAAGAGAGCTATTGATTAACTTGTGTCACACAAACCAGTAATAGCACTCTGCATCTTGATTGTATGTTAAAAGCGCAGTTCATTAGTGATTTATCAAAATATCAAGCCCCCCCACCCCAGTGGCACAGCGGTATGTCTACGGACTTACAGCGCTAGAATCCGGGTTTCGATACTCGTGGGGGGAAGAGCACAGATAGCCCATTGTGTAGCTTTGTGCTTAATTACAAACAAACAAAATATCAAACTTATATATTGTTACGACAAAGCTCAGAACTTTACTTCAAAAATTAGTTCTATCTTTTACAAATCCACCTTAATTTTCAATACATACGGGTTTAAAGCGTTATAGGCTACATACAGATGTGAACGACGTTTGGTCTGTATGTTGAGGCTTTCATCACAGAGGCCGAAACTACAATTCTAATATAGTCGACTCTGCTTAACAATCCGCTAACAATTCAGAAGTTTTCTAAATCAGTGAAAATTGAAACTGGGAAACCCTCGAACCTGAGGCAGATGCTTTAGATGAGTAAGCTTCAGTTTCCACATTAAACGTTATTTTAACATAGTACATGTCTCACTTTTGGCTGTTAGTGTTAACATTGTTAGGGTAATGGTGATGATGTTGTTTTTATACAATTTAATTATAATCAGTATTTTTGATACATTGCTCATTAACCCTGAAATTTGGGGTATTTTTTCTAACTTCGCGCAAAGCTACACGAGGGCTATCTGCGCTAGCCGTCCCTAATTTAGCAGTGAAAGACTAGAGGGAAGGCAACTAGTCATAACCACCCACTGCCAACTCTTGGGCGAGATTGCGAGTCAAGCGCCCTAACCACCTGGCCATGACGGACCCATTAACCCTCAAATTACCGATTTGTTTATATAATGTTCACTACTGGTATGGGCCACATATTGTGTGTTTATTTGTTGTTTAACACAAAGCTGTGCTGTACCTACCGCGAGATCGAGCTCCGAATTGTAGCGTTTCAAACTGCCAAACTTACCGCTGAGCCACGGAGGTGAGCTAGATATTGCATCATACTGAGCAGTTTTATGTATTTTCCTATTATATCACTCAGTGTAAAGAACTGGCCAAAGAGATTCGATGAAATCACCCATTTTCTGTGTAAAATACATAAGAAACGCTAGCAGTAATTATTAGAATTAAATGCAATATTGGAAATATATTTGCTTTTATGTTTGTCTGTTTATTTATTTGCCTGGTTTATATTTCTTTAGGACCCAAATTTTAATTCTAGGACTAATGACAGAAGTTGAAACATTAGCAGTAACTTTTTTTTATTAAACTCTATAATGAAGTGGCAGAACAGACGTTATTGTATTCTATGGTACCACAGAAGATGTTTAAACTTAAGGATACATTGACATAAGGACTTAATTGTACTCCATAGTAATTTGAAATTATGGTCTTCATTGAGGTAAACGCCACAATACTTCTAAAAACGGACTTGATACTTTATCGAAATCCGAGATACAGTGACAGAAATGGCTATTATTAAACTCCATAACACAATAAGAGAAAGGATTTTAGTATACTCCATGTCACATTGATAGAATTTACTTTATGGTTCATTAACAGAGATGAGTTTTGTTCAGTTTACAGGTATAAGACAGAACTGACTTTATGGAAACTTATGGAACACTGACAGGAAAGAACTTAATTAAACTCAATGGTACGTTGTCGGAGAAGATTTCAATAGACTCCATAATACATTGAATAAATGAGTTAATTCAATTCAGTTTTTACCTTGATAGCAATGGGCATTATTGAACTCCATTACGTAATTAAAGAACTGGTTTTATTGAGGTGTATGGTACGTTGCCAGAAAGGGATTTTATTGAGCTCCAAGTTACATTTGATAGAGCGGACTTTATTCAACTCCATGTTATACTAATAGAAATGAACTTCTAATGGCTGGAGACGGCTTGAATGGGTAATGAAGAAAAACTTTAATACAACAGCAAATGT